TTTTTTTTTTTTTTTTTTCCTGAGATGGGGTCTCGCTTTGTAGTTCAGGCTGGCCCTGGGCTAGCCTTGAACGCGCTGTGATCCTCCTCCTGACTGCCTCTCCAAGTGCTGGGATTATAGGCCTGAACCACCATGCCAACACAAACCACTTTGAACTTTCGTGTATGTTTATATTTTCACTCACTTTTCTATCTTTCCTTTCTCCTCCTCCCCCCCACCTCCATACTGGGGATCAAACTCAGGTCCTTGTGCTTGAGAGGCAGGTGCAGTGCCACTGAGCTGCATCCCCAGCCCCTCACTCACACACTTTTATGCAAACTCTGAGTATGTTTCTGTTTTATTTTCCTTTTTGTTTATTTATCCTTTTACAGTGTTAAGTCGTAATCATAATTTTAAATGGCTGGTTAATATTTTGGTTATAACTTTTCCATTTTGTATAATTATTTCCATGTTGCTTGAGTTTTTGTGTATAAAGCTTTCTCCATACAGGACTATTTAGAGGCTGGGACTATGTGCTCCAGAGAATGTGATGCTACCGACTGACCCAATCTTTTGCTAATTTGTGTAGAGTATTTATTTAGTACTTTATTAATACAGTGTAATGTGTTTATTTCAGAGGTAGATTTTGCTTGGTATGGCAGTACCCAGTTAGGGAGGGAGAGGGGAAATAGGAAGGCTTCTTGAAGGAAATATGCCTGAGTATATGTGGAAGAAGAGGGAGAGGCTGAGCTGGCTGAGAGCATCATGGGCAGTGGAGACAGCATATTCCAATGTTTAACACCATGCGAAGCATGGGAACTGCAAGTCATTGAATAAGGTGAAAGCTCTGTGTGAAGAGAAGTAAGGAGAGAGACTGAAATTTTGAGCAGGGCTTAGATTATGAAAGGGCTTGTGTGCCAACTGATGAGTTGGACATTTTTTGATAATAGAAGTGATCAGTGAACACTGATATGTCAGCTCATTGCTTGTTTTAGGTAAACTTATCTGAATTTGTCAGAAGCAACATAGCTTTCCACTAACGTATATGTAGAGGGGTCTAAATGGCCTAAGCAAAAAATTCTGAGAAATGCACAACCGGAAGCTTTAAAAAGAAGTATAAAGTGTAACACAGCATTGTATTATGGGCTGACCAGCTTTTTGGAATCAAATGAGGACTCCAGGTACAGGGTTGGGAGTTAGCTACAAGGATGAGGTGATAAATCTGGGAAGAGACCAAAGGGACTCACTAGCACTTACTGAGCACTTTTTTGTGTATTGCTTTCTGTTTTAGTTCTAAGTGATTGCTCTTCAGTGATTGGCTATAAGTGAAGGTATAGAGTCCCCTGAGGTATTAAAACATACTTGAGCTCATTAAAAGTTATGAAGGGCCCACGGCCCATAATCCCAGCTCTTAGTGAAATGAGTCTTTGGCTTAGGTGATGAAAAGTATACCTGGCTCCACTTATGGCTTTGAATGGCACTTCCCTCTGTTTTTAAACCCCAAGAGCAGATTACTGGTTCAAGCTATCAGTATTCCCTGGCTCATTTGGCAGGTCCCACAGGGCCTGGCAAGGCTGATGACTTCCACAAAGCAAAATTGGGCAAATTCTTAGGATTTCAGTCCACACCAAAGGGTCTCCAGGTATTTGACATCTTTATTATCTCTTACCATGTTGCTCACTTGCTCTTTGATGTAAGCCAAGTATATACTCTCAAAGGGTCATGGATTGAAAATAGTGAAAACCTACCTACATAAATAGCCTTTAGAATCCTCTTTTCTTATAGAATTCCTAGATTTTACTTTTATTTACTTTTACAATCCTCATAGAATGCTCCAGACCTAAGAGTTTAGTCCTTTGACTTCTATTCCAGGTTTCATATTTATGTCTGCATTTCTACAAATACAAGATACTCATCTAAATTCAAGCTTAGTGATTATGAAGTGGGTTTTTAAAAAAATATGTTACAATGTGTGGCTTATGAAGATGGCGAGAGACTTTTACTTTTCACAGAATTTTTTTACTCCATAGTTTCTTTCTTAACTATGGGTGTTCATCACATACCCGTTGGGTGAGGTGTTTCGGTTTTGAGGGCTCTAAGCCAGCCAGTAAAGTCATGAAGTCGACCACTGTGTCAATGTTGTGCTTCTGGGTGGTTGTATCCTTCAACACACATAAGACACTCAGCCAACTAAAAGAGATGAGCTCAGAGATGTTGGCTCGGAGGAAAAGAAGGATCACATTGAGGTCATTAATGGGACATCCCAGCATCTTTCTGCTGAGGAGATCAAAAGCTGGGAGCATCTCATAGATGGATAGGAGTCGTTTGTCCCACCGACATAGCCGTGTGAGGTTGTATATTATTACTGGAACCAATAGGGTATATATTGCTGCACTGGAGAGGCTAACAATCTGGAAAACAGACAAGGAAGTCAGCCTGCATGTGATCAGATCAGGGACATGGGTCTCATCACGCAGCATCCCTGTCTTGATGGAGCAGCTGAATTCTTCTTGGAATAAGATACCCAGGTGGAAGTGGCCAAGGTACAGGTAAGTGGCTGATGTGAAGAGGAGCAAGAGGGAGTTCCTTAGGAGGTAAGTGGCGACTAGTGAATGTGAGCGCTGCTTACATGCCAGGTACCGCTCTAGCAAGGGAAATTCAAAGTATCGTTCTTTCCGGGCCCTGGGCAGGGAAAAAAGAAGGCAAGGTTAGGAGGAACAGTTTAGAACCACACCTTTGGAATCATGTGAGAAAGTAATAGATCTGAATATTCAACAGGATAGTCTTGGGTCACAAGGAAATCTGTTGTCCTTCGACATGATTTTCCCTCCAAAACAGGTGGTGAGTATGCCTTGATTCTCCAAGTAATGAGTGCAGTGTAATAAACCCAAGGAATGATCAATGAGTAATGAATGGTCATAGAAGATTTATGCCCAACAAGGCAAACTAAAGCTCTAAGCTTTGAAGTAGGACTCTTAAGAAACAATAGTCTTATAAATTAGCACTGCACTAGGAGACTAAATAAGTGCATTTTGATTCTTGGCTTGTGTATTTGTGTGTGTGTGATTTTGGGTCAGTTAATTAACTTTATATGAATAAATGTGCTAGTAAGTATTTGTTGAGAGCTGTGGTGTTCAGATAAGCTAGTCTCTGCTCCAAGGAAGCTTAGAGTCTGATCTCTGGGGAAAGGGTAGATAAGACATGCAAACATGAAATAAATTGACACTTGATTTGTTACTAAGTTGATGGATACAAACCATAGTTATGAAAGTTAGAAGCTAGAATAACATTGTGGGGTGGAGGGTTCAGAAACCTTTATAGAGAATACTGACTTACTGCGTCAAAAGATAAAGAACTCTATTTTTTATTTTTTGGTATCGGGGATTGAACTCAGGGCCTTGTGCTTGTGAGGCAGTCACCAGAACTACTGAGCTAAATCCCCGGCCCAAGAACTCTATTTTTATCTTTTATTTATTTATTTTTTTGTACCGGGGATTGAACTCAGGACCTTGTGCTTGCAAGGCAGGCGGGATAAAGAACTTTCTGAGAGGACATATTCATGTGCATAAACATGAGACTTAATCTGATTTCAAATATTTTGCCTCTTGGTTGGGCCCACCCTGGCTACCGTAGTTAAAACTGTACTACACTCCATCTACTTTCCAGATACCCCTCCCTTGCTTTATTTTTTCTTAGTAGCACTTATCGTTATCCTAACGTGTGTTTTTCTTATGTGTGCTGTTTACCTGTCATCTGTCTCCCCTTAAGACAATGTAAGCATATATGCAGGTGCAGTTTTGTTGCCCCAACCCCTGTCCCCAGCACTCATACACTAGTGTATCTGAAGCACCCAGCGCAGTGCCCGGTATCAAATAAATGAACAACTAGATAGACAAATGATGTGTCCAGGAAAAAAGGAGGAGGTAGGGTGGAAGGTTTCTGCCATCTGGTATAGGTTGAATATCCCCTCTCCAAAATGCTTAAGGCCAGAAGTGTTTCAGGTTTTGGAGTTCCGTTCTTTGTTTTGAATTTTGGAATATTTACATAGACTTTACCAAGGATGCTCACCAAAGATGCTCAAAAAATTTTGAGTTTTGGATGTTTTAATTAGAAGTTTGAAGGAGCTGAGGAGTAGGCTGGTACATGCCTATAATCCCAGCACTCTGAAGGCTGAGGCAGGAGGATTGCTGTAAGCTTGAGGCCAGCCTGCACTACAAAGTAAGATCCTGTCTCAAAAAAAAAAAAATGTTTGAAAAAGTAAATGGTGACAGTATGTTGAGGCCTTGGGAAAATATTTGGGAGAATCCAGATATTTTTGATAGGCATGATATGGGATGTATTTGAGGTTTTTGAGTAGGAAGATAAGGTTACATGAGTGGTTAACCCCTTTGTGGCTCAGTGTGTTTATCTGTACACTAGAGGTAGAGTCCTTTTCCCCTTATAGGAATTACAGAAAATTCATGAGATTATGTGTGAGCACTTTGCTCTCTTGAGAAGGATAACATAGAGGATAATTAAGATCAGTATGCATGGATATCATCTTAGCACTCAGACAAATCCTCCAAAAGGTGAAGAGATATCTTACTTCTCCAGCTCATCCCAGAAGACATGTGGGTCAGAGCTTTTCTGCCGGATCTTCAACATGTGCTGCACCAGGCGGATGGAGCGATTATAGGATTTGTCCAGTTCACTGATGATGAACAGCAGGTCTGAGCTGAGGGCTGGCACAGCTGCATACTGCCACAGCAGCACTGGCAGGTACATGGCCACAGCCAGGCCCATCAGGGAGTAGGGGAGGGCCTGCAGGGTGAGAGTTGGCTGAGGAGGGAGTTCAGGGTGCTGAAATTTGAGTGACAGCACTGAGTGAGGGGCTTACTTCTCCCCAGTTCCTGCAAGGGGAAAAATGATACAGGGAATGGGCCAGCTAAGACTGTCCTGATGGTGAAGAATATAGAAAGGCCTAGCAGGAATTTAGATTTTTTTACTCCCCAGGTCTATGATCTATAGTTTTTCTAATTTATAGGCTGAATAGGGCACCAAGGAGAAGAGAAAGTGAAAGTGAGAAAATGAGAGAGCATGGGGTATAGAGGAGGGGAAAAGAGAGACAGTGATTGAGAGATTCCCCCACCCTGCCATGTGTCAGGCCGAGTAGCCAGCTTGAGGTCATGGTTAACAGTGGCCATGCGTGATATCCCAGAGGAGAGAAAAATCCCATTTTTTCTGTCTAGCTTTCTTTGGCTTACTGGGAATCCCTGAAACATTACTGGAAACCTCTGTAGTAGGCTCTAGTCTCCTACTCAGTGTACAACACAAGCCTGAGGTTGAGCGGGGGAGACTAAAAGAACTAAGAGAGAAAGAGAGCAGGGAGCCAGGATAGCCAATGCTGATTAGGTAGCAAAGGTGCTGATCAGTCTAAGCTACTGATTTTTATTAGCAATCAGTTGGGATAAAGGCCAGCTATATTCAAAGATGGGACTATGTGTGAGGATGTGCAATTGTGCAGTTTCTATGAAAACTAATGAAAGTAAGGCTTGTAAAGTACAAAAAGAATTCTTGAATTAGGAATAGAATATACAATTTTTTTGTTGTAATTAGAACCCTGTCCTTCTAGTTAAAGTTTGAATTATAGGAGTGGAATTGGTGTGCAATGGCACATAGGCTTCAGCCAGACTCACTTCTATAAACAAGCCAATTGGGGGGTTAATTCTTCATGGCCTGTACTGCTTACAGCGCTCTTGGACATAATCAATATTGTGGTCTCCTGCACTGGCTTCTCAGATATTCACTGGTCTTTTCTCATCATTGGATTTTTGTTGATGTGGAATGATGACCCTATTTTGAAATTCTTTGGGGGTCCTTTCAGGTATGTAGCTATATAAACTGACTTTTAGGAATGCAGAAGCCTTGTCTCTTTAGCTACATTACTAGCATCTTGAGGGAAAGGACTGTGATGGGTTGAATTGTGTTTATGGTTTCTGCTCCCACTCCAAATATGTGGAAGCTACTAATCCTTAGTATCTCAGAATGAAATAGTAGACCGTGTTATTGTAGATATAATTAGTTAATTAAAAATGATGTGATGTTAGAGTAGGGTGGGCTCTTAATGCAGTTTAACTGGTGTCCTTACACACACACACGTACACGCATGCACACACACACACACACACACACACACACACACACAAAATGTATCATTTTACAGTTCAGTGCTAGTCCTCCTAAGGTTGTGAGAGACAGATCTTTAAGGCCTTCTCTTTGGCTTGCAGGTGTAGCATTCTGGGTGTACATTCTGTATGCATATCTACCTCTTCATAGGGTGTGTGTGTGTGTGTGTGTGTGTGTGTGAGTGTGTGTATTTTTTGAACATAGAAAGTTAGGATAAGTACACTATGCTTCAAGAGAAAATAGAACCTTTTCACTTCTGTCCAAGAAATAGCATTCCTTGAAAATAAGCCTTTACCCCTACAGAGTAGATTTTTAGGTTTGAAGTAGAGTTTTTGTTTAGATAGCTTTCTGGTGACCTTGATGATCAGGTATTTTGACTCTTCTGACATGTGAATCTGCTCTGTAATATCTGGAATTTGTCACTGACTAATACCTTCTTGAACTACTAGTGACGGAGACCTCCTGGGCTTTCTCCAATAAGTTTATGGTTTTGTCTGAGTCCTAGAACTGTAACATTTTGAGGTGTTATAAATGGTCATCCCTAGAAAATGCTGTGAGAGACTTCTCACTAAACACTGTGACCTGAAAATATATATTATCACTATTTCCATAAAACACCACTAAGATGACAATAAGTGGTAGAAAAGGCATATTCTTCCAAAGACAGTGAAAACAGGAGAGGAGACAAGCAGCAAAATGTTGAAAACTGGAAAGGAGCTATGTAATAGAAGACATCAGTGTGCAAACCAGGTGGGAGTTGGGACAGGAGAAACTAAGCTATTCGCAACTCAGACCCAGAAAGCCTCTACATTAGGTGGAAAACCTTAGAAAATGAAAGGATAGTTGGGGCTGAAAATAGGAAAATTGAAAAATATACGCGAGCAACAGCCTTGTAGATCTTTCCTGTGAGGTGATACATTCCAGCAACCACTTTTCTTCCCTTGCCAGAAGTTGAGGTTCACTCTGGAGAGATGAAACCAGATTAAACTTTGCACTTGAGTCCACTGAGAGCAGAAGAACCATATTGAGGATGGGGCATCAGCTGGATGAACACCGGTGAGTCCTGTGACCAAGTTTCCAGAGGGTGGAAGCCAGGATTAATACTAGCTGCACCCTATCCCTCCCCAGAAATGAAGGATTGAGTGATTGTTGTTAGAGAAAACTGGCCAGCCTAGAGGAAAGACTATCACACTACTATTTGTCTCACTGACGTTTTTCCTAATGAGTAGATTGAAGGAATCACCTTCAACTAAGGCTGCCTATCATCTGTCTGCTCCACAGGTAGAGAGAGATTCCAGTCAGGTGAAAACAATCAGCCAAGGTTCAGCCGGCATTTGAAGAATGCTCGAAACATGAAAGTAATTGTAGCAAGGGTAGGGAAAATGATTCAGTGAGAGGGAGTATGATTCAGGTCTGTCTCCTTCCACTCAGCTGGCCTGATAGAGAGTTGGGGCTGCCTTACCTTGTGGGGCCAGAGAGATTTTGTCTTGTACTGGCCATCCTCATCTTGCTCATGGTGAACCAGTGAGTCCCAACAGGAACCATCCACATAGGCAGCCTGACGCACACTGAAGTTACTGGGAACGAAGCAGCTCATCGGAGACCCTGGAAGAGGAGTGCAGCTTTGAGACATCTCTGAGGTGGGATGGATGAAAGGGAACCCCAGGGGCCATCATCAAAGAGTTTTCAGGGGCTGCCTCCACAATTCTGGTCAATTTTTGTGTCTGGCAAGCATTATCTTCCCATGCCTTCTTTCTGAGTTTGGCACTGCTCTGTCATAGGAAGAGAGGGCATGACTGGAGAGAACCCCACCATTTTGCCCTGCCTACCAGTGTGCTGACAGCCTGTTAGGTATGGCAGTTCTTGTTTCTCAGAGCATCCCCTAGACACCCTGGCAGGCAGCCAGTGGTGACCCCTACACTCCTGCAGTTTGGCACCAGAAGGTTTGTGGTTTGCTGGTGACATTTTCCTGAGAGAGCTGGAATCTTCTAGATTCTAAAACATAGAGAATTAATGCCCTGGACTTCTGAGCCCAGCTCAAGCAAAAGGGCAGGTAAGTTGTGCTGAAAGGAAAGCAGACTTAGAGGAAGGTCACTGCCTTTCCTGTTTTCCCATCATTTTCCAAGAAGAGGTAGAGCCTGGAACCAATACCTTTCTCCATCTTGCGGATGAATGTAGAAGCCAAACAAGGTGGACATATCTCACTAGGAAATGTCCTAAGCTAACAGGGAAGGGGACCAAGAAATGGAAGAAGGAGAGGGGAGAGGAAGAGGATGAAAAAAAGAATCGAGATGTATTATGTACACATACCACAAGGAATGCAATATTTATGAATTACAAATGTGTACCAATAAAAAATAGAAATTAAGAAAAAAAAAAGAATGAAAACCAGAGGTCGCAGTTCTATGGAAGTTCACATTCTCTTTAATAGAGGTAGTGGATTTGCTGAGTTAATCCAGCACCTAAAATACTCCATATTTGTGTATGTTAATATGTGTGGCAGGAGTTCCTGGAGAGGAGCAGTGGGTTTATCCAGCTTCTCTGATAAGGCTATGTCAGGCACTTCACATATGTTCTTAAATTAGTAACCTTGGTCGGGGGAGCTGAGGAGAGGGCTCGGAGAAAATGAGAGGCTTTTTAACAGTGTGGCTAAGACAAATTTGACTGAGGCCCAGAAAAGATCCTGGGGCCCCACCTTCTCTTATCTACAGGAAAACTAGAATAAAAGGTTCATTACTGAAATGAAACAAACTATATGAAACTGACATTGTAGGTCATTATTTTTTATTGTAAAATTTTGGAGGTGATTTAAAAACCTTCCAGTGTCTCTGCTTCGTTGATACCTACATGCATGCATGGGCTGCCCCTTGAGTCATCCAGCCCAGCCTAGCATCATGAAGCCTTGTCAGTGTGGGAGCTGTCTCATTTCTGAGTCCATGCAAACAGTGGAATAAAGTGAGATCTTGGAAGCAACTTACCGGAGGAGAACTCCTGAGCGAATGCCAGGGACATCAGCAACAAGGGAAAGCCTACGGCCACGAACTTGACCATCTGGTCCAGGGGCAGCTCCAGACGCAGGCCTTTGAGGTGGGAGCCTCTGCGGTCAGGCAGCAGGGCATCCGAGAGCATGTACTCCGCAGCTGTGTGTGCGAGCGACATGATGCTGCTGAGCTTGAGGCCGCAGAGGTGGCAGGAGGTGTCCTGGGTCAGTGGAGTGAGGAGATGAGAGGTTCAGACAGACAGTGCTGCAGCCCCAGCCTCACGGACATCTATGCTAGGAGCAGGCAGTGGTTCCCTAAATAACTGTCCAGACCCTGAGCCAGGCACCCCGGTAATTAGGGGGTCCATGCTGGAGGAGGGTCGGGCTTCATGTGTGGCTAGTGCCAGGATGCTCTCTGGATTGTCTAAGTCCATGGCTTTATGCTGCCCTCTCATTAATAAAGTATTTTCAGCAATGTGGTGCAGAGAAGGAGGGCTGTGGGGTCAGGCTCCCCATGTAATTGATGTGGAATTTGGGTGGGGACTGCTTAAATGTGTTGAAGCCCTTCATCTTGTGGTTTTGGGTGGGAATGGAGCCCCTTGGACTCAGCTCGGATTGCTTACTCTACAGAGTAGCTCTTGTTCAGTCTCTTTCCCAGAAACTGCTCTGTATTTGGTGTTAAATTTTCTGTCCCGATTCTGGTCTTTTTCCCTCAAAATTTAAGCAAATTTATGATTTTCATTTGTTTTAGCCACATCACTTCTTTAAAAAGCTGGGGACTGTGCTCACTTTTTAATCGTATATTTTCAGACAAGTCACTGTGTCTCAGTTTTCTCATCCTTCAAGAGGTGGTATGTTAGGATCTTAGGGATCGTGGGGATTAAGAGTGTTGTATGTGAATGCTTTGTAAGCTGAAAAGTGCAGAGAAATGCTGTGGTTTAGATAAGTGTCCCCTAAAGGCTTATGTGTTGAGGGCTTGGGCCCCGGCCTGTGGTGTGACTGTGAGCTGGTAGAATAATTGACAAGGTGAAATAGGAAGAAAAGGGCTAAAGGTGTAGGGAAAGTGGGAAGGGGAGGGGAAAGGTAATAAGAGAAAAGAAAAAAATATGAGAAAATGAAAAAATGGAAATAAAGTGTTTGTAAATAGGGACGGGAGGAGGGGGTGAAGGGAGGGCAGGGACAAGGGGAAAAAATGAGAACCAAGACCTGTCATGTAAAGGCACAAGATCCCAATGATGAATGTAACTGTGCTGTATCCCTAAAATGTACCAATAAACTAAAAAGAATCTTTTCAGTACTGGGGCTTGAACCCAGGGGATTTTCACTGAGCTATATCCATGGCCTTTTTATTTCGAGTCAGGGCCTTGCTAAAATTCCCAGGCTGGGCTTGAAGTTGTGATCCTCCTGCTTCAGCCTCCCTTCTCTTTCTCTTTTGTGTCCTGGTGGTCATGAAGTGAATAGCTTCTGCCATGTGATAATACCATGATGTATTATTGTGCTACAGGCCCAAAGCAACAGGGCCAAGAGATCATGGACTGAAACTTCTGAAGCCATGGGCCAAAATAAATGCTTTCTCTTATTAAGCTGACCATGTCCGGTATTTTGTCACAGTGATGGAAAGTGTAGCACAGTAAGTGTCTGCTCTTGAAATTGGTGGACTGCATGAGAGAACAGGGTATTCTTGTCACTAGTACTGCCTTTAAATTAGTTATTAGATGCCCTTAACTGGCCTACATGCAAGTGCCCCTGTGGCTGTATCCTTCCCATGGGGCAAGGAGTACATGGGCCCAAGGGATGTACCCATTTTATACCTAAACAGAACCTATGCATCACCTAAAGCACCCTTCAGTACAGTAGACTCTAATTCCTGCTCAAATGGCTTCAGCCTGCTTCTGGGACCGATGTAGGCCTTTTCCTCATGTGCATTCTAGTGATTGTGCTTCTGGGGTGCACCCAGGCTCTAGGGTACTTGGATGTGGGGGTTTGGATGGAATTTAGAAGTCCTGGGATGTCCACCTGTGCAATTGTGAGTTCGTTTTTGCTGTGTACGACTTAGCTGGGTTGGAAAGAAAAGGCTATTGGTTTGGGGGCCTGGTAGAATATAAAGATTCTAAATTTGAACCTGGCATTCCTGACCATATGGCAGGTGTGTGTGTGTGTGTGTGTGTGTGTGTGTGACAGGTAGATAGAACATATTCAACAGTTTGCTTCCTTGATTTATAGCATTTCATTTTTTAGACACATGGGACGTGGATCTTTGTTGGAGCTGTTTTTGATGGTCTCACAAATGTGGTTTGGGTCTGCTTCTCCACATCCCACAGGACAGGGGACAACTCTGAATCATATTTGCCTCATGTGTGCTAACTGGGGTAATCCAGGCATGGGAACATCAGAAGAGATTATTTCTATTTTCCATCACCCTCTCCATGTTTTCATTTTGGTATCTTTTAATTGTGTGTGTTTTCCCCAAATGGTTATTTTTGGTTTGAATACATATATATTCTTTTGCTTCTTAAAAGTATTTACATAGTTTTAAAGCATAATATATGTACATTAAAATACACATAAAGCATGTAGTTCAATAGATTTTTCACCTTGTCAAGAAGCAGAACATTATTCATACCCCAGAAACAGCCTCTGTGCTTCTTTCTAATAACTTATTTCCCAAAAGGTGATCATTATCCTAACTTTAAGTAGCATAGATTGGTTTTGCATACATTATAAAAATGGAATCATATACATATATATACTGTGATATTGTGTCTGGCTTATTTTGCTCTACATTGTATTTATGAGAATCATTACATTTTTTGTCTGTTTTTGTACTTTATACACATGTAGTTATATGCACATTTTTGTGTCATGATTCTCTGTTAAAATATTTTGAGATTCATCTATGCTGTTATATGTGTTAGAAATCCACCACACAAAAATTGCATAACAAGCTAGGGCTTAACATAATGGCAAAAGCCATTAATCATCCCAAAGATTCTGTAGATTGGAAATTTAGGAACAATTTAGCTGGGTTGTTCTGGCTCCAAGTTGTTCATGGTGTAACATCCCAGAATAGGCTGTGTTCATCTGAGGGCCTGACTGGGGCTGGAAAATTCACATCCCAGATGTCTACCTTACATGGCTCTTGGCAGAAGGCCTTAGTGTGGTTGGAGGACTAGCTTCTTGCTGCATGCCCTTCTGTTAAGGCTGATTAAGTGTTCTCATTATACAGTACCTGACTTTTCCTGGTGAGCACTTTAAAGAAAACAAGGCAGAAGCATGAATGCATCAGATCTATAGAAAATCCGAATTGCTGCTGAAATCTTTGGAGTTGTCCTTTGTGAAGCTGATAAGGAGGAGAGACAGAAAAGGTAGAGGAAGAAAGTTTATTAGTACAGTGACTACAAAATAGAATCAAGCCAAGAAGAACATTTTTGCAAGTCATGGTGGCACAGACATATGGTACTAGCTACTTGGATTGCTAGGAGGATCTAGGAGGATATGGAGGATCTCAAGTTTGAGACCAGTCTGGGCAATTTAGTGAGACCTTGTTTCAAAAATAAAGGACTGGGGATGCATGAGGCCCTGGGTTCTACTCCAAGCACTGCAAAAAACCGACCCACCCACCAACCAACCAACCAAAGAAAAAAGAAGTCAAATCAGTATCACACATGCTAGTGCTCAAGAGAAGTAATGGCCACTCAATAAATGACAATGTATAAGATGCAGTGTTTACTGTTAAATTGATCAACCCCATTATAAATACTACAACTACCAGTAGGAAACTGACTCGATGAATTGTGAAGCCAGCAATTGTGGATAGCGTGCAGCACTTGACTGTGACAAATCTAAGGAAGAAGTGGAACTGTGACAGCTGTCCTCAACGAGAAGTTGATGTTCTTCTCCAGTACAAATGTCCTAGTCACTTTCTTGTCATTGGAAAACAGTATCCAACATGCATAACTTAAAATGTTTATTTTGCCTCATGGTTTTTAGGAGGTTCACTGTATAGTTGGCTGAGTCCAAGGACAGAAACATCATGGCAGCCAGGAAGCAGGGAGAGAAGGGAGCAGTCAGGGACAAGAATATACCCTTCCAGGTCTATCCCTCGGTGACCCACCTCCCACCAGGCCCTGCTTCCTCACAGAATATGCAGCTCCCGTACATATCAATTAATGAATCCACTGATGAGTGTAGCACCCCCATGATCCAATCACCTTCCGTATACATAAGAACTTTTGGGGACATTTTACTCTAAGCCATAACACCAAACTTCAATGGTATTTGTTTCAGGGGTAATAATAGAACAG